TGTTTCATTAGAGAAGAACCCGTCCAGAGGACCTATACTATTTTTTCTTTTTGCTTTTTTAAGCAATACAGTTACGCCAAAAGTTAGCTGATTTTCCCCTTTACTCTATTTCTCAACTTCATGCCTGAAAATTAAACAGTCTAAAGTTCAGAGGCTGTGTAAACGATGTGCTGTTTGATATTCAGACGTTCAGACTGGTTGAACTCTTTGGTGACCGCTGACTATTTTTTTTACTAGTTAATTTATTTCTAATAACACTAAAACTTGCAACATGAGGTTTTACAGTTTTTTATGTTAAACATTTGATAAAAATAGGTTTATATCAAACATGACCTAACTTAAATGTACAGCATCAAATTTGCAAACTGTGTAACCAGTGTATCTGCCAGTTACCTTTATTATGTTTGTATTCCACTTTGAGTCCAGTTTTTATTGATCCTTGAGTTTTTTCCWACAGCTCGTGTTGAGATGAAATAATCTCCGCACTTCTTACAGTTGTAGACAATTTTAGTTAAATGTTTGTCTGCAGAATCATTTGTAATGTGACCATCTCATTTTTTTATTTCCTCAGAGTTGACTGGACCCACCAAGGTAGTGAAAGCTGGGTGTCCGCCCAAAGGCAGGCGAGGAGGAAAGGTAATATTTTAGTTTTTGTGTCTCCATGTTTAATACTTTGTATCACTAACATAAAGGCTGCTTTACAAACTTTGATGGCCTTTTTTAAATAGAAACAAAATTGCATTTTCATCAAAAATATTGCTCTAAATTAACATTTAAACATCCCTGTTTGCATGAATAATTTATCTTTTCTTCTTTTCTTGTTAGGTTGGAGATTTTGGCGACACCAACAGTTGGCCGACTCCAGGAGAGATTGCGACCAAAGACATGCAGGTAAGTGTCGTTGCTCATCAGTGTTGGGTGTAGACACTCACTGGTGGGTGTCACACATCAGGTGGTCAGAAAACGTAGTGTCTTTGTTTGTTTAGTCCACATCCAACTTGGTTTTTTTGTCACTTTTTCGAAGACAGTCAAATAYGTTTAACAGAAAACAAGTTTTTAGTTACAAGTAACACTCAGCAGCCAATCAGATTGAGCAAGCTGCGGTGGGTAAGTGTAGTTTTTCTGAAGTGTTTTTGTAGTTTTAGTAGAAGTATTTTCTTTTTGTCTCTTTTCCAGAAGAAGGTGCACCTGGACCAGTTCTTCTGTGTTTGTCTGTGTCTCTTTCCTGTCCTCCAA